GCGTCGTGATGATGAGTCTTGGTTTAATTATAATACAATGTTTTTATTAGTCAAGAATTATGACTCCATCTAGTCAAGAGTACACATCCTTATTATATTTTTCATTACGCTAGTTTGTACATGAATTGCAATTTAAAAATGCTTTTTATTAATGATTTTAACAGTCAAAATAATATTTAAAAATTCTGTTACTGTACCATTACACACAGTAATTAACATAATTTTTTTTTTTGTGATAATCAGGATAGTTTCCGAGTTTTCGACTTGATTATATCCACCCTAAATCCGAGATCAATCTTTGTATATGAACCATTTTGGTTTAGAAATTATATCTCTCGTCACCAGTGAAATCGAACCCAAGACTTTGAAAATGATTTTATCACCTCTCAACCACTGGATCACCACCGTTGGGTTAATTAACAAAATATTGTATAATAAAACCGATACAATAACCACAATTCAATAATAAAATCCGATCTCATAACTGTTTTTAAGCGGTGGACCTTATTTGGTTATTATTTATATAGATTTTTGTCTTTTCCAGCATATATTTGTTTAAAATAATATAGTAATTAGTCATTATAATATGCATCAATTATATAGATGGAATCCAATTATCTATCTGTCAGGAAATTATTGTTGAACTAATTTATTTAGATTTATTATACGAAATCGAAGATTTGATGCAGGGAACATGTAGATGTTAGGGCCGCATTGTTAAACAAATAAAGGTTGTTCAAACTCATAAGCGATTGAGTTGAGTGTCCATATAGACAAGTTGGATGAATTTAAGATAATATATATAATTATGTAAGAATAAATAATAAAAGAAATAAAAAAGGGTTTTAATTTTAATTTTTTTTTTGTAGGATAAAAAGTTTTTGTGGTTTGCTTGGAGGCATTGCCAACTAACAATCTGCCCCATGTTTATCCGTATTCATATCTATCTATACATGTTATGATACATATATGCAGTTGTCTATATATTTATATATGTGTATGTATATATGCAGTTGTCAATATATATGTGTATGTACTATGTATGTATATGCAGTTGTCGTTGGCAATCGTAACGTGACTTTCATGCAAGAATGCGTCTTCTTGTTTCCCATCCTCTTTTCTTGGACAGCTCTATATATTATCCTAACCGCTGCTGATTCCTTTTTTTTTATTATATATATTTATATTTGAATTGTGAAACTTAGAATATATTCCGTATTAATATTAAATTTAGAAATTATCTTAGCAAAAGAAAGGAAGAAAAATAATTCCGTGTGGAATTACGCGTCTATAAACAATCATTTTTCCCCTTGCGTTATTATTCGTCTGCAATATTTTTATTAACAGAAAAATAATAATAATGATAGGGTTTGCCATAGGTGAGGCTGAAACTGGGCCCAATGAGGCCTAACTCTGATCCACAAATATCCAATGGGCCCACTCTTTAAAGTCTGCCGTTTTGGTCATAAATATTCGGGTTTATCTGTTTTTTTTTATAATTCGCGTCTTATATAATTTTTAAACTTGTTTTTTTTTCTCTCTTCAATATTCTA